AGAAAAAATGGGAGGGCAGCTCGAAAATATGAGCTGGCAGCCTATTTTTTCTGAGGAATAAAGCTCATAAATAAATGGGCGGTAGCTCGGGAAAACCGGGAGAGCAGCCTGTTTTTTCTGAGCAATTCAGAAATAAACGGGCGGGTAGCTCGACAAAACGGGCGGGCAGCCCGTTTTTTCTGAGCAGTTCGGATTGAGCGGAAAATCGCGACCGTTCGGGAAAAACTTCCGATTTCTTCACACCTTTCGACATTTGGAGTGTTGATTAACACCCCTGGACATCCTAACACAATTAAGAACAGATCTAATTCGTTTTTTGAGAGATTTGAGAGCACTTTGTGGTTGTTCTTGCAAAACACCCACAAAAGCCTTTTGTTCATCTTCTTCTTGCAATTTATCGCAGCTCCACCTAATAGATAAAGCCAACCACTCACCGAGGCATGATCCTCCTCACTTGAGTTCCAACTCGCATCCGTGTATCCTTCTAACACCGAAGGTTGACCCGTGTAGCGAAGACCGTAATTTATGGTCTGTTTCAAGTATCGAAATACTCTCCGTACAGCATGCCAATGATGTACGCTTGGGTTACTAGTGTACCTACTCAACTTACCAACCACGTATGCTATGTCGGGTCTAGTGCTAGTCATAGCATACATTAAGCATCCAATGACACTAGCATATTCAAGTTGAGATACCGGTTCCCCTTTGTTCGCTACCAATTTAACATTGCAGTCCATCGGTGTAGAAACAAGAGTGCTATCGTAGAGATCAAAACGTTTCAGAACTTTCTCAATGTAATGAGATTGAGAAAGTGAAATCGTACCATGATCTCTTATTATCCTAATTCCAAGGATAACATCCGCCTCTCCTAGATCTTTCATCGAAAATTTCGATGACAAGAACTCTTTTGTTTTCTTGACTTGCTCTAATTCCGTACCGAATATGAGCATGTCATCCACGTATAAGCAAATGATAACCCCATGACCATTCTCGTCAAACTTGCTATATACGCATTTGTCCGATTGATTCAGACGGAACCCGTTAGCCAATACTACCTCATCAAATTTTTGATGCCCTTGTTTGGGTGCTTGTTTCAACCCGTACAATGATTTGACTAACTTACACACTTTGTGTGCTTGACCCGATAGGACGAAACCTTCCGGTTGCTTCATATACACCTCCTCTTCAAGATCACCGTTTAGGAATGTCGTCTTGACATCCATTTGGTGAATTTCCAGATTGTTTATCGCTGCAAGAGCGATCAACAATCTAATTGTAGCTATTCTAGCTACCGGTGCATACGTATCAAAGAAATCGATACCTTGTTTTTGTCTAAAGCCTTGAGCTACTAGACGAGCCTTGAACTTATCAATAGTTCCATCGACTCTCATCTTCTTTTTGAAGATCCATTTGCAACCAATAGGTTTACAACCCGGAGGAGGATCTACTAAGACCCATGTGTTGTTACTCATGATGGAATCCATTTCATCATTTATCGCTTCTTTCCAGAAAGCGACATCTCGTGATTTCATCACTTCATCGAACGTTCTAGGATCTTCCTCGATATTATATACGTAAGCAAGTTGAGCCACTACCGACTCGTTTGTACCTTCCACTAAGTACATCTGAAAGTCCGGACCAAAGGACTTCTCTTTCCTTATACGTTTACCTCTACGAGGTTCACCTTGTCCGTTATCTTGATCGATTGCTCGACTACTCGAACTAGGTACAGAAATAAGTGGTTTATCCACCGAAGAAAATCGACTTTCGTCGAACAATGCATCTCTCGACTCAATAACCGTGTGAACGGTAATGTAGTCGTTTGGTTCTATGACATAGAACCTATAAGCTTTGCTATGTAAAGCATAACCAATGAAGATGCATTCTACTCCTCGATCACCCAAAGTCTTTCTCTTTGGTTCTGGAACTTTTACAATTGCCCGACAACCCCAAATCCGAAAATAATTCAGATTTGGTTTTCTCTTGTACCATAGTTCATATGGGGTAACCTTGTTCCTTTTCGATGGAACT